CTGGGTGTTATGCACAAACAATGAATCATGGAACACTTCATCTAGAACTAATGATGTAATGTATGGGGATTAACATAAGAATAAAAAAAAAAATTTGTGAAGAGGGTAAATCTAATGTCAAGTGTTCTTTCCACAATTTTAAAAAATCCAATAAAGGTTTAAAACTTAGCTGACCACTTACTACATACATTTCTCTGACCAAGTCACTTACCTCTCTGATAGAGATAATAACTAACTGGGATATTACCTAAGGGATATTGATACTGTGCCTGGAACATCATAGGCCCTAGATAGACTATTGCTAAGGATGTTGTTAGGAGAGGGTTAAAGAGGTCCTTTATGACTCAACAGCTTTTGAAAACCTGGTCTGATGCTAAGGATCACTTAAATTTCTCAGTGAGTTCTAATGGCAAAGAGTAAAGGATGGACCAGAAAGTTGGGGCTTCTCCTCTTTGCCCTGGACCTGGAAAACCATTTTATCTGCCTTCTTGTTCATTTTCATATTCCTATGATATGTACTCTGCCAGGCAAACATCTGACCACATTTGGTTAGGTAAGACCAATGAACACATGTAAATATACATATGTACATGTACACACAGTAATAATCTACAACTTGATTGCTAGATAATTTTACAATTAACTACAAGGCAATTAATAAATATGACCTTAGTTTTCATGAACATAGTTGATAGAAACATAATAAACACAACCTAATCTTCAGATTTTTAACATACTGTTACCTTGTAATAAAAAAAGAGCTTAATAAAATAGTACTAAAACAAAGCAACACTAAATAAAAGCCCTGTGTCCTCCCATGACCTGCCATGATAACACCTCCAACTTAACCATGACTTAACTATGTCTGACACCTTGAATAGAAACTTTTTGAAATTTTGAAAGTCAAGATATTCAGTGATGCTTATCTTGGTTTAGAATAGAAAGTCTGACAAGATGTTAATTATAGTGTGACAGAGTAGCAGTGATATAATACCATAAAGCACTGAAGAAAAGAGTTTGCTAATGCCTTTTAAAACACTCCTTGTACTAAAGGTACTCATATGCAAAGAGTCTAATTTACTTTCTCAGTACATAAATCAATAGGAATGGCAAATCTATTCCTTTCATTGCCTTTTGTTCATTTTCAGCTTTGTAGGGGTAGAGGAAGGAGTCTATACCACATAGTAAAATTTTTTGTGAATATGTTCTCCATAGAACAAACTTCAACAGTAGCTACCCATCTAAGAATCATTTTATGTCTCTATCAATTCATTTTAAAACAGTGGTTTTCCCAGGTTTCTTCCCATTCCGTTTTCTCTCCCTTCCCCTATGGAAGAAATCAGAGAGAGAGAGAGAGACAAACCATGAGAGACTCTTAAGTATGGGAAAGAAATTGAGGGTTGCTGGAGGGGAGGTGTGTGGGGGGAATGGGGTAATTGGGTAAGGGGCATTAAGTAGGGCACGTGATGTGATGAGCGCTGTGATATGTGACTGATGAATTACTGAACTCTGCATCTGAAACTGATGTACTATATGTTAGCTAATTGACTTTAAATAAAATAAATAAATAAATAAAAATTTTTAAAAAATAAGAGTGGTTTTCTAAAACCCTGAAGACTCTACCAAAAACACTGTTAGAACTAATACATGAATTCAGTAAAGCTGCAGAATACAAAATCAATATACAAATATCAGTTACATTTCTATACACTAACAATAAACTACCAAAAAGAGAAAAAGAAAACAATTCCATTTACAATTGCCCTAAAAAGAATAAAATAATTAGGGCTAAATTCAACTGATGAGGTAAAAGATCTAAACATTGAAAACTAAGACATTGATGAAAGAAATTGAAAAAGGCACAAATAAATGGGAAGATATTTTGTGCTCATGGATTGGAAGAATTAATACTGTTGAAATGTCTATACTACCAAAAGATATCTACAGATTCAGTGCAATCTCTATCAAAATTTCGATGGTATTTTCAGAGAAATAGAAAAAGCAATCCTAAAATTTTTATGGAAAACAACAAACCCTAAATAGCCAGAGCAATCTTGAGAAAGAAGAACAAAATGGAAGGCATGACACCTGGTTTCAAATAATATTATAAAGCAATAGTAATCAAAACAGTATGGTATTGGCATAAAAATAGGCCCATAGATCAATGGAACACAATACAGAACCTAGAAACAAACCCATGTATATGTGGTCAATTTTTGACAAAGTGGGCAAAATATACCATGGAAAAAGGATAGTCTTCTCAATAAATGGTATTGGGAAAATTGGATATCCACATGCAGAAGAACAAAACTAAACTCCTATCTTATACTATGTAAAAATTAACTCAGAATGGATTAAAGACTTAGATTTAAGACCTGAAACCATAAAACTCCTAGAAGAAAACATAGGGGGTAAACTCTTTGAAACTGGCCTTCCCAGTGATTTTTAGTATTTGGCACCAAAAGCAAAGGCAACCAAAGCAAAAATAAACAAGCGGAATGGACGCATCAAACTAAAAACTTCTGCATCAGCAAATAAAACCACCAACAAAACAAAAAGACAACCTACAGAATGGGAGAAAATATTTACAAAACATATATCTGATAAGGGGTTAATATCCAAAATATATAAAGAACTCATACAATTCAATAGCAGAAAAACAAGCAATCTGATTTAAAAAACGGGCAGAGAAACTGAATAGACATTTTTTCAAAGAAGATCTACAAGTCAACAGGTAATGAAAAGGTGATCAACATCATTAATCATCAGAGTAATGCAAATCCAAGCCATGGTGAGATATCACCTCACACCTGTTAGGATGCCTATAATCAAAGCACTGCTGATGGGAATCTAAATTGGTGCAGCCACTATGCAAAATAATATGGAGGTTCCTCAAAATATTAAAAATAGAACTACCATATGATCCTGCAACCCCAGTTCTAAGTGTATATCCAAAGAAAATGAAAACAGGATCTTGAAGAGGTATCTGCATTCCTATGTTCATTGTAGCATTACTTACAATAGCCAAGATATGTAAATAACTTAAGTGCCCATTGATGAATGTATAAAGAAGACGTGGTGTGTTGTGTGTTTGTGTGTGTGTGTGTGTATAATGTAATATTCAGCCATGAGAAAGAAGGAAATCCTGCCATTTGTGACAACATGGATGGATCTTGAGGGTATTATACTAAGTGAGATAAGCCAGAGGAAGAAAAATTATTTTATGGTATCACTTTAAAGTAAATCTTTAAGAAAGCCAAACTCATAGAGAGAATAAAAAAGTAGAAAAAAGTGCTTTTCTTTCCAAGACACTATAACTTCAAATCATGACCTGTTTTCTTAGCTTCAGAGGTTACTGATTTAACAGCATACAGAAAAACGCCCAAATAGGGATGGATGTTTCCACTGGGCACAAGTTTGTTCAGGAAGATGCTGCCTTCCAGAGTGGTAGTGAGTTTGCAAAATTCTGAAATAAACCTCTGACTAGATGAAATGTGTTTGAACAGTAGGTGTTTCTTTGTTTTCAAACTAATTATCACTTAGCATTCATGGAGAGCAAGGGGACATTAAGATACCAAATCAAGGAAGTTGGCTATGGAACTGGATTTAACTCTAGGACAATGGAAGTATATTGTTTTTAGGCAAATTGTTATCCATACAAGGAAATTATTTTTATGATCCCATTAACTGTTATGATTACTACCCAGTAGTAAGGTCATGGTTAAAAGATGGACCAAAGGAGAACAAAGTGCTGAGCTTTAAAGGAGGGAAGTGCTTTTCATATTTTGAATTATATCATACAAGCCTGAACTTGATGATATCCTTGTATATATTAAATATTAATATTAATATTAATAATATTAATATTAATAATATTAATTAATATTAATTAATTTATTATGAGGATTCTTCAATGTCTGGGTGAGTCTTGTCTCTGCTGAATAATAATGTATTGTTCCTCCACCCAAATCTTGAGTGATTTCAACTTGAACAGTAGAATCTCCATTCTGATAAATGCTTGATTTTTGTCAAACCTTATTTCACTACCATCTTGATACCTTAAGTTGATACTAAAAAACTTACAAATATTTGTTCTTATAGAGAATAAGAAGAAAATAGAAAGTGATTTTATGTTCTCAGGAGAGAAGACTGCTCAGAGCAGGATTTATGTTCTACAAATATTTTTGTTCAGACATCTCTAAATACGTAAGTTTCCCTCATCTGGAAAAAGGATGGTAGTGAAGTTCCTATCAAATGAAAAAAAAAAGAACATTATCGGGAAGCTCTTTGTATATTGTAAGTGTTTAAAGAATTGTAGTAATTTAGATTATTTGAACTACCTTAGTGAGAGGGCATTCTGGACTACCAAATACTATGGAAATGTAAATTATATAAAACTACCATTGCATTGTTGAATTATTAAGTGGGATATACTAGAAAGAGAAATTTTGCATACAGAGAAACAGTCTTAGAACTTATCCAAGAGAATTTGCATATAAAAATATGGAAATGGCCTTTTAAAAATAGTGCTTTTCTCTTCCCCTCAGAAATCCCAGCAAATAAATTGTAGAACCATGAGTTGTTTTTCACAGTCAGCATTATCATAAAGTTTTGCCAATCAGAATAAAGGCCAACACATTTTAATAAGGCTGTTAATAGCTCACCTTACTTGACTTCCATTCATTGTAAATATTCCATAGAAGAACACACACAAGCCAACAAGTGCTGCAGGAATCAGCATTCCAGTATACCATCCCAGCCAAGCAAAGTATAGCCCAATCTTCTCACCGAAGTAGAGTCTGCATGAGAAAGCAAACCCTTAGTTTAAAGCAACATAAGCACCACGGCAAATGTTGATGTCACACCTAGTCAAAATTTCAGATGGACATACCAGCTCAGTTCCTCAGTAAGTTCCATCTGGGGTATCTTAATATTCCCACTTGTTAATGAATCCAATAATGGTGATGCTGTTTATCTTTAAACATTGTCATTACAGGGGTAATTTTATAAAATGTATTCTTTCTGTGTCAAACTTCTTAACAAGGTTCATAAAACTTTTAAAAGCCAGTTATTGACTTTCTCCATCCTCCTAGTAAAATGTCTTTTTGTTTTCCACACACAGAGCTGTGCTAAATCATATTGCTTTTGTGTAAATTAGAAAAAAGTCTTCCCTGTAGGTAGATGTTGAGAGTAGATTTGATTTGAGTCTCCATCTGCACCCTTGGCCAGACTCCCTTAGGCTAGACACAGTCATGTCACACCTTCCTCAACAAAGTTAACTCTGCGGCTCCTGGAGCACACAGTTCTTTCCTTGGCCAATGCTGTTCCCTTACTTTGGAATATTACATTTCATCTTCCTCCCTTGTCTGGCTTGTACACATCCTTCACTTTATATCACTTCTTACAGGAAGCCCTTCCTGACTTCCACTGCAACCCTGGCTTAGATGCTCCTGATCTTGTTCCCATACTACCCTCACCCACATTTCAGTGTCCTAAATTTAAACACTTTATGACAATTCACCTGTCACTCTTCCATTCCTCTCCCACTCCATAAGACTTCAAGTGCCTGAAAGCGGACCTGTGTCTTCTTCACTAGCACCCACCACAAGGAGTACTGAATGAAGCTAAGGAAATGAATATATTTTATTTCCCTTGAGCCGATGAACATAGTTTATATGGAAATGGCAGATGAATAAGACAGTTCTAATGACTATCTTATTGCTCTTTCTTCACCAAGTCTACTGACAATATCAACTGCCACACAGTTTATAAAGCTCTGGTAAGAAATAATAATTTCTTGAATTCTCTATGACTGTTTGGTCTCCATCTTCTAAAAATGGTTACTTAACACAGTTTTGTTCCAGGGATAGCTCTAAAAATTGGTGTTTTACAGTTCATTTAGGAATATTGCGCTGGGCAGTGATTCTTGCTGGGAAGGAAATTTTCTTGGTATTTTTTTCCTTGACAAGACAATTCTCTTGGTATTTTTTTTCTTTCTGAAAATCATTCTTTGGGGCGCCTGGGTGGCTCAGTCGGTTAAGCGACTGCCTTCGGCTCGGGTCATGATCCTGGAGTCCCGGGATCGAGTCCCGCATCAGGCTCCCTGCTCGGCAGGGAGTCTGCTTCTCCCTCTGACCCTCCTCCCTCTCATGCTCTCTGTCTCTCATTCTCTCTGTCTCAAATAAATAAATAAAATCTTTAAAAAAAAAAAATCATTCTTTTTCTACGTCACTCTCTGTATTGTGCCGGTTAAAATTTTGCATATTCTAATACCAGGTATAGAAATGGAGTCATCCTCCATTTATCTAAGTTTTTGTTTTTTTCATTGATTTCTCCTAGGAGACATAGATCAGTAGATCATTCACTTCTCCTACAACGATATATTCTAGTTGAGACAAAAGCTTATCATATCAACAGGTATTGCAATAAAGGCATCTGTTCCTTTAAGTAAGTGTTCCTCTGTGGAGTAGAGTAGGTTTTCGCATATATTACTAACATAATGGAATGTCTTTATAATAATGACTACAGAGGACTGCACAGACAACCCCCCCTTAAACAGGCAGCATTATACTGAGATTTTCAATTACATACTGTTGAAGGTTAAGAGGAACAACAATATTATTTGACAGTAGTTTAATCACCTAAGTTACAGCAGATTTTAGATCTGATTCAGGAGAGGGAGAAGCTAGTTCCAGGCCAAGAAAGCTGATGGAAACCTCCTTGACCTAGAGCACTGGTTATTCATAATATTCTAGGATCTCTAGAGGAATCTCAAAAACCATGCCGAGGCAGGGAGGAATTGCTAGGTTGCTCTCCGTGTCACTCCTCACTGTACTTCACTCATAGCCATTCTCTTTTTATCTGTTTTATATTTTGGTAACAAGCAGGTTCCTAGAGAGCAGGAACATGCTGAAGTGACATCTATACTCTTTTATGGCCTTCATCTTGGGTAGGCCCTTCATCTCCTCCCTCTCTTCTCAGCCACTTGAACACAAAATACTTTCATAAGCAAAATTTCCCTTCTATGTCAATAGCCAAATAATTGGTAACAGTATCCAAATAACCTTAGTTATTAAAAATAAAGGTTGCTTGCTGAAATTACCTGAAGCAGCAATAGCAATGTGTCCAACAGATAAGAGAATTATTGACGCTGAAATGCTTGCTTGAAAATACCAACTTCATTTTGGTTCCTAATAATAAATATGGTTCTGTGAGCTAGCATATCTCATTGTGTTCACATATCCCTAAAATAACAATTCTTTCCTCTCTCTCTCTCTCTAAATAAAAAAAAAAATCAATGGGGCACCTGGGTGGTTCAGTTAGTCGCGTGTCCAACTCTTGAGTTCAGCTCGGGGATGGAGCCCCACTTTGGGCTCCGTGCTGAGCATGGAGCCTGCCTAAGATTCTCTCTCTCCCTCTGCCCCTCCCTACTGTTCACACTCTCTCTCTTAAAAAAACAAAACAACAAAAAAGCACCAAAACAAAAAACACCTACATAAATAAAGATCTGATAATTTGTTGTGAATGACAGAATAAGAATCAAAGCATCTTGATTTTGGATATGCCCAGGAGGCTCACCTTCACGGACTGTATCACTTACGCTCCTTCCTTCTTTGGGCTTCCAGAAGGGCTCTTTGGCTAACTGAAGGTACAATTGAAGGTATCACAGAGTGGGATCAAAGAGATATCGGTGTATTAATTATGCTTCTACCTTCTCCTTCTTGGGACATGATTTGCCCGTAGCTGCTTTCCTTCTAAGACTGTAGCTTCTGTCAGGCATCCTCCACTTCTCTTTTTGACAGGTTCTACCAACTGTTCTCTCCCCTTGTTCCTCCAGGCTAAGGTCTGATGAGAGCATCCAGCTTTTGCTAGTCCTGGAAGCTTCATCATCATCATCCATTTGTTCCCTTGACACTATTCACAGTTCTGTATATAGTTCTCTTATTAGATTTTCTTCAGATACCCCTTCTATTCTATCAGTTCTATCAGTTTCCTGCTAGGACAACGCTGACAGTTATGAGTTATTCTTGATAATTGTATTTCATAAACAGTTCAAATTATCAATATATATAAACTTATGAATGCTCTTTTTAAATCCTTCTAAGAATATTTACAGTTAGCTACAAACTTGATTAAGTCCTTTTTAATACATATTTCCTGATATTTTTATTTTTTTAAAGATTTTATTTATTTATTTGACAGAGAGAGACACAGTGAGAGAGGGAACACAAGCAGGGGGAGTGGGAGAGGGAGAAGCAGGCCTCCCACTGAGCAGGGAGCCCGATGTGGGGCTCGATCCCAGGACCCTGGGATCAGGACCTGAGCCGAAGGCAGACGCTTAATGACTGAGCCAGCCAGGCGCCCCGCCTGATATTTTTAAAAGAACAAATTATCCTCCATCAAAATTAAATAAATAATGAATAAAACAGTATCTGGAGACTAACTGAAATTGAGAGAAGTTACTCACTATAAATGTGCTTCCTGGAATGGAATACTCACTAAATTCTTGGTTGAAAGACATATGCGTAGATGCTATGTTGGTCATTTTTCTCTTTGCTCTCAGATCCATTTTCTGCCTTTCCCCATTTTGGTTTGTTTTCACAGGGAAGTAGATTACACAAGTTCTATTGTAAATTGCTCCTGGAAAACTCAAAGGTGTAAGGAGCGGGGAAAGCCAAGAGCTTTCCTTCTCTCTTGGCCAAGGTCTTCAGGGAGAAGTAGCCATTCCTTCTTCATGGCTCCACTTCCAACACTTTCACTTCTCTGCGGACAGTCCTAGTCGTGGATGGTGTAGCTCCTGCCCAATGGCCCAGGTAGTGGGCTCTGAAATATACTTCATCCCATTTTCCTTGCAACCTCAAGGCTGTTAGCAATCTTCTTCTGTTGTTAATCTCTGGTTACCTCACTATTCCTGTCTGATTTCTCAGCTTTCCCATCCCTTATATAACCAAATCCCTAAATTAAGTTCTTTTTTATTGGAAAGACCTATAGTGGCTTCTTTTTCTCTGACTGCCTCCTGAATGAGATAGATGATTTGGTGGGTGAATAAAATAATTCCAAATCTGGAAAATGACAATGGAACAGCATAATATATCTTCCATTATTAATCCATCCACATTACCTGATTAAATCCAGGGGCTGATGCTTATACCACATTCCCCAGCGTGCCCAGCGCTCATATAATAGATGTCTATTGTTCTGAGGTCCATGCGTTTTGATGGGCTGGCTACTTTTGTAGGCTCCCTGAAACACATAAGATAAATTGATATACATTCCCTTAGTAAATTTGAACTAAATAGGAATTGCTTTTACTATTTTTCCCTTACAGAACAATTTAACAACTTACTGGAAGCTTCAGAAATTGTAAACTTAAGCCCATCACTGGAATGATGTAGTAAATCTCTTTATATTCTTTCATTGAAAATATTCTGATAATTACTTAAAAGTCCTTCCTTCAAGTCATTTTTTAAAACAATGAGGTCCCTTTCACTTAAAGTAAACTAGAATTTAGGTTTTATTGTTTGCGACCTAAAGTTTTTTAATAAATACTATATTCACCATCACTGAGAGAAATAGTTGTAATCTTTACTTCAGAAATTAAGAGTATTCTTCTACTTTAAACAGTGACTTCGTCCCAGAAAATATTTATTTTATTTATAGAAGCTAGAGAAGAAAGTAAATGTTCAATCAAAAAGTATAAGGGGTCTAAGTCATAAGAGCTAGTCAAGTTTTTCAATTCCAGAATCCTCATACCTTACTTTAGATAAGATAATCCAAAAATGGAAACATTGTCAAATTCTTTATATCTCTCCTCAAAAACTGTCATATGGGTTGTAATATTAGACACATAGAATATATATGCCTGATAGAGGAACTGCTTTGCTCTTATAATCAAAAAGGAGAGCAATAGATGTGGTGACTCTATTTTGTAAGCCTTAACTTAGGACAGGATTTGACAAACTCCATCTCATTCCAATGTGTGATTCTACTTTTACAAACAGCTTAATGAAAATTTAAAACAAGTGGAGTTATGCCTTAGTTTCCTCATGTAGATGATGAGAATAAGAATAAATATTAATGATTTCCACATTGAGGGGTTTTGTGAGGGCTCACTTGCATTATAAAGTGCTGGGCACATATAAAGTACAAAATCAGTGTTAATTTACGGTGTTTGATATATTGTGGCCATTGAAAAGTGTAAACAGGGTGATGGGTATTAAGGAGGGCAAGTGTGGTGGTGATGGGCACTCAGTGTTATATGCAACTAATGAATTGTTGAACACTACATCAAAAACTAATGATGCATTATATGTCGGCTAATTGAACATATAATAAAAAAGACCCCAAAAAACTAATGATGTAATATATGTTGACTAATTGAACATAATAAAGAAATAAAAATAAAAAAAATTCTCATTCTAAAAAAAAGTGGAAAACTATCATCTGAGTGATCCCAGACAACCAGGGGTGTGAGTTCTTATGAAGAAAGAGGGCAGCTTGAATCACAGTCCGCAGATGCCTCAAGGTTGAAATGAGAGACACATGTGGATTTCACTCTCTCTCACTTTCCAATGAAATGGATAAATTAATTAGGTAAAGATAGAAGTACAGCTAAAGTGCTGATGGGGTTTAGGGCAAGAATGTGCTACTTTGGCATGTAGATTATTTCTAAGTTGAAAAAAATTAATGGCCAATAGACTCAAGAAGTTTTTTACCTACCCCCTTACCTGCTCAAAATAATTTATTTTTTTTAAGATTTTTAAATTTATTTATTTGAGAGACAGAGAGTGAGTGAGAGAGAGAGAGCACAAGCTGGAGGAGGGGCAGAGGGAGAGGGAGAAGCAAGCTTCCTGCTGAGCAGAGAGCCTGACATGGGGCTTGATCCCAGGACCCCAGGATCATGACCCAAGCTGAAGGCAGTCGATTAACTGACTGAGCCACCCAGGCGGCCCTCCTGCTCAAAATAATTTAGATAGGAAGCCTATGAGAGGGAGGAGAGAAATTACCAAGGATAACTTTTTTACATAAGAATACTTAGCTGCAGGATGTGGCAGGCATTGGTTCACCCAATATTTGCTCTTCCATTGTCCTGTGAATTATCTCCCTCCTAGACCACTGCCCTCTTCTTCTTAACTCAGGATAGCATATCAACCTCAATTCCTGGCTGCTGAAGAGCCTCTCATGTCTTTGTGGGGATCTGTACATGTATAATTAAATTTGCTTTTCTCCTATTAATAACCTGCTTTATGTCAATTTATTAGGTCAGCCAAAGAATCCTGAAGGGAAGAAGAGAAAAGTTCCCTCTCCTACAGTGCAGTCCAAGTTTTCTTCCTTAAGAGCCCAAGACTTTTAAAGCCTAAAGATTAGAAGCTAAGGAGATGAAAGTGAAGATCAAGATTTCAAGCATGGATACATCCACCTGGGAAATGTTTGTTTGCTTGTGCAATTGGACTGATCTGTTAGGATAGACTGCCCTGAGATTGGGTAAGCAAGGGAAGGTGAACCAAAGTCTCAGCTTTCTTTCAGTAATTAATGATAAGTTTCTAAAACACCTGAGTTTCCTTCCCAGCCTCAGTGGGCAGACATAGGCACTTCCTGGTAGATTCCTAGTAGATCATTGTTTTAATTCTGCTCAAGAACCTCAACCGTACTGTTCTGGGTTGACAGTGACACCTGTTGGCTGTAAGAGAAAACTGCAGTGATGATGCCTGCTTGCCTGTGTGTTTCCATCCCTGTTCAGAGGACCATGTGCACTCAGTGATCACCCCTCTATATCCTCATGATCAGTCCCCTACTCCAACCAACAGGGAAGAATAAACAGGATTATTATTTATAAACTACTCCAAATAGGTTCCAAATTTCACACAAGAAAGTGTCAAATGAACTGCTAGAACACAGACTAGTTATGTAGATGAAATTACTCACACAAAGAACAACCCAAAACTTCCTTTGCTATAGAAGCTCTCCCAGGGCCTTAGGTTTGCTACTCTGAACACTGTACCACTTACCGACTATGTCAAATCTGACATCATGTTTAATTTCTCTGAGCCTTATTTCTGTATCTCTATAATGAGAAAATAATAATATCTACTCCTCCAGGATTATTTTCAGATTAATGGGAAAAGGGGGCCTGTCACATGAAATAACTTAACATATTACCCATTATTATTATTTCTATTCCTACTGTAAGTAAGATATTCATACCATAATGAATAGATGCTTTGGGGTCTGGCTTCGTGGGCTCAAACCTGTGCCTTTGATACTTAATTTTTCTGTGCCTCAATGATCTAGCTATAAAATGGAGCTATTATTATTGTCTGTCTCAAAGGGTAGTCCTAAGGATTAAATGAGATAATCCATATAAAACAGCTCAGTGCCAAATAGGAAGTGCTCGATGCATTTTATCCTTTATGATTTCTACTAGACCGTGAAGGGGTTACACCTTGTGAGTCCTCAGCCTTTATAAACAGAAGTGATGGGTTCTGAGATTGCTGACCTCAAACCTCTGAAGACCCCATACTTATTTTAAAATGCAAAGTGGCCTTAAAAAGAATATAGTGTGTGTGTGTGTGTGTGTGTGTGTGTGTGTGTGTTGGGAGAGGATGTTCAAAACTGATTCAAATGTCATTCATGACTCAGCAGGCAGAACTCACCACAGCTTGGAGCAGGTGTTTCTTTTTTTTTTAAGATTTTATTTATTTATTTGACAGAGAGAGAGAGTGAGAGCAGGAACACAAGCAGGGGGAGTGGGAGAGGGAGAAGCAGGCTTCCTGCCAAGCAGGGAGCCCGATGCGGGACTCGATCCCAGGACTCTGGGATCATGACCTGAGCCGAAGGCAGACGCTTAACGACTGAGCCACCCAGGTGCCCCGGAGCAGGTGTTTCTAACTTAAAATTGGTAGACAGGTAATAACCTGGCAGAGAATCAAGTAAATAATGGGGTGTGGGTTTGTCTTAGATTTTCAGGCATCACAAAGTGGTAGGCACAAACCAGAACTTGCCCTGTTTGGGAATGGTGTGGAACCCAAGCTGGGTCAAGCATGGAACTCTGCATTGGAGCACAGGATGGTGGTCAGAGTGGTTGAACCATGTCCCTAAGTTCCCTCTGGAGCTGGGACTCCTGACAAGGGAAAAATTGCACAAAGGTTCTAGAGCACTGAGGACAGTATGCAGCCAGAGATCATAATGGGGTCTGAGAAAGGCCCAGGGCCACTCACTGATTGAATCCTCCTAAGAGTGGGTGGCCAGACTTAAAAAATAAATAAATAAAATAAAAGAAGGATCAGCAATGAGCATGAGAAACTTTTTTTCCCCCAATGGAAGTTTTATTTCAAAATTACCTCATGAGGGGGAAAAGCTGCTATGTATGAGCCATTGTTTATCAGTTTACAGATACCTGGAAAGAGGAAAAAAAAGAACAGTTTTTGAGTCCGTTCAAATGAAGACTTCCTTCTGTAGCAACATATATAAATTTGGGAGAACAAATTAATTTAAAAACTTAAAATAACCCAAATGACACCCATAGCCACATCACCTCTGAAGGCAGGGGCTGTGAAAAAGACTGATACTAAAGAGTCTATTTGTGTCCTTACAACATGAATCAATGGAGATTTGTAAGGTGCCAACACATGGCACTTTGTCATATCATGAAATGTGAGGCATTTTAATACCTATTTATTTGGGATCACATGAACCTGAAGCAAATTTTTTTTTCTGCCTCAAAACAACAACATTTGGTCAAGAAAACAGAGGAATTCTCCACCCACAAAATGTCTCTAAAGGATATTGGTTTTGAGAAGTCTTTAAGTAATACTGAGCCAAGGAGACATAAATAGCAATATGTGACACTTCTTAAAATCTCCTCCATCTCAGCCTGAGTGTAGCGAAATGGACATTCTCATATTGTCATGGTAAGATTAGATATTGGGAAACTTTCGGAGGATAATTTTTGTTACAGTATTATTTATATTCGTAAAGAATAAGAAATAATTGTATACCCAAAATCAGGAAATCATTTAATTATTATGGTGCAATCAATTATACTAGGTACTTGGTAAATAACTGCAATTTGATGAATGCTTATAATAGAATTTTGTACAGCTATTTACAATGTTTACAGACATACCAAAGGGCTTGAGAAAATACTCACACTTTTTAAAAAGGACAAAATTGTAAACACTGCATGATTCTAAAAATCATGTATATATACATCATATTCAACACATCATTATTAGAATCATGCAAGTTTACTATATATACATTCAGTATTAATTTGTGAGAGTGACAACTGAGTTTGGGGATTTTTAAATTTTATTTTTATAACTTTTGTGTTTATTGTATGTTCTACAAAGGGCATGATATCTTTACAATCACTTGAAATGTCATATTTTTATTTTTAAAGACTATGTAAGTACATAACACTATCACTTAGACACATTTTTATTTTATATTCCGGACTTCTCTATTTTTATTTCTTATTTAGAAAACTAAGTGTCAAAATTTTTTGTAAGGATTTAGTGTCCAAATTAACTATTTTGACTACTCAGTAACAAATGAATTATTAATCAGAGGAGAACCAAAGTCTGAACTTTCCTCTTTAATAAATGGCTGACTTGAAACATAGTTCATTTTACTTCTGTGGCACTATTTTTTAATACAATTCAGTAGAAATTAGTACAAGTTTCCAGTGGCTATCAACTTTTTATTTGTAAAGGTTTTAGGACATAACTAACATTTGATTTCTTCACTGTCTTGTATTTTTCACCCTAATAATTAAAAGACCAGCTCGTTTATTACCTGTTTTCTGCTCTGCACTATGTAAACTTTGCAATTTTATTTAATTTTTCTAGGTGAAATTTTCTCAATTTTCTTTTTCAATATACATATAGTAGCATACTGCAATACATTTAAACAACACAGAAATCTAGAAAGTAAAAATTAGCTGTTATTTCACCTTCTGGAGGCAATTTCTAGAAAGTTTCATATATATTCTTCCAGATTTTTTTCTTTTTACAAATGCGTGTTTAGGAAATGGAATTACATTAGACTTATAGTTTTTAATCTGATCTTTTTTTTCACTTGATTATGCATTGTGGCTACCTTTCAAAGTCAATAAATGGAGAACTAATCACTAATTTCCAATTTCTACAAGTAAGGGGTCTGCGTCGTATACTTTTTTGTGATATATAGCATACAACAGATGTTCAATAAATTTAAGAGTGAACAAATAACAAACAATTTTAAGTGGATGCATTTATGGAACATAGCCTAACTTATTGTTAGTTCCTAGTGATGGACGGTTAGAATATTTCCAATTTCATTCTATTCTAATCTTTGTTTATAAACAAAGCCACTATGAACAAACTTCTACATATATTGTTATTCAAAATCTGATTATTTCTTTAAGATACATTCCAAAAAATAAAATTTCTATTCCGAAGTGTTCTCGTTTTGATACATATGGTTAAATGCCCTTGAAAAAGTTTTTGTTGTTGCTGTTGTTTTATTTAGTTTTGTTTTATTGGAAGGCTGAAAAATAGGATGCTTAGAATTTGTGTTCAATGCATTATATCCTCATGTTTCATGCATGAAGGCAAAGCTTCAGATGTGAAAATAAGTATTTCCAGATATAATTAGTAACAGCAAATTCTACCTTCTTTATATTTTTAATTAGTGTTCTTACCCACTTTTGATATTCCATTTTCATATTTCGTGTGCTGTAGCATGTGATAGACTATCCTGCTTCGAGTAGCATTGCTGAAGAATGTGTCCTTGTTGTTTATTATGAAGCTGTTAAGATAAGGGGATTTGTTTTAATATTCAAAGCAGAGCACAGAGTCCAGCAACAGTTACAAGTTTCTAGGTAGTCATCCATCTGTTTTTTCCATTAAAACTAACACTTGAGAAGTATAGTAAGTCAAAAGACAAACCATCCTCTTAAAATAAATCAATTGGCAGAGACAAATACATTTATAAATAATACAAGCATTATCAAACATTCATTTAAAAATCTTTCAGTTTATAGGGAAGCCTAGATGTCCTCTTATTTCTTGTTTAGCATGAAACGGGGACAGCAGCATTAAATTGTCCATTGTCTCCCATAAATTTTGTACTACCTTAAGCAATGTAGTTCCAAATAGAACACATTAAAAATTGATGTCATTTCCCCATACCACGCCTTCCAAGCTAACTTTTCTTGCTTTCCAAACCTCAATAATAAGCAACAGTTCCTTCCCCTTCATGCCCTGTACCGTCCCCAAGTAGTAAGAGTCGCAAAGAGAAACCTTAATGAGCGCCAATGAGTAAAGAGCAAAAGGGTGATCCTGACAGGAAAGGAGGTCTATTTCAGCATTTATTTTGTAATATGGTGGGAGCCTCAAAAAAATGGAAGCATCCTGGACCTTACTCAACTTCTGACAGTTCCTGTTTCCAGTTGCTTTATCTCTGTGAGTAATAATCGGCCATTTTTTTCCAGGCACTTAGTACTGAAGTTTTAGGTCTTCTATGATTCTTGTTTTCTTTTTACCATCCATATTCAAACAGTTGCTGAACCAGTCAACTTTTCTAACTGAACTGCTCTCTCTGGCTTTGAGCTACCCTATTGTTCCGGGTCTCATTGCCTAGATTACAAGAGGAATGTCCTCTTAACCGGCTGCCCAATTTCCCACCTGACTTTTCAAGCACAGCTCTGATTCTCAGAGCACTCCTACTATTAATGTGTCAGCATACATACATAATTAAATTCCTTATTTTCCTTCCAGGTTCTCTATTTTTGCATTTCAGCCTCTCCTTCAGTCTGATTTCCTATAGGCCTGGGTTTTTGCATCTGATAGTCAAATTGTACAATTTATCACACCTTGAAATCTCACATTTCTTTTTTCTCAGGATTTTGCTCTGTCTCTGATATCTAGCCCCCCCCGCCCCACCTCTCTCCACCTCCCTCCACACTTTTACTTGCTGGAGAGGACTATCTCCTTCAAAAAGGCTTCCTAGATCCTTTCCTCTGGCTGTAGCTTCTCCCTCTCTTGTAAAAATGTGCATTCTATTTGTGTCTTTCCTAACAGGCTGACTTTACTCTGCTTTGTTTCATGGTATTTGTATACATGTCCATTTTAGTAGCTTCCACCATTCTGATATTGTGCTTTTTAGTTTTGTACTTGGATGCACCAACAATTATTTTGAAAGAACTGGGTCCTAGACTACCAGCCCACATGAGTTTACAATTAATTATTCATTTCCTGAATGCCTCTAAATCAGCTGATAAGGAATTAATAATGCTCACTGAGAACTGTTCATAAATTAAGTGCAAAAAACATTTTAATAAAATGATACATTCTCTGACTTATTTGGCAAACAATGGAACTGTTCCAAGGTATTTTTGTTCTATCAATAACTCCTAGATAATGAAAGGCATCAAGTCAGGTTGTGGGAGAAAAAGAAATGTGAACTTACTGGTGAATCCGTGCACGGCTGAAGGGGCCAGTATAGCAGTCTGACTCCTGCAGGTTTGGAAAAGCTGACTTGTCAAGAACCATTGGGTTTTGGGACATCCATTTTTTTATTCTCCTAAAATAATTTTGTACACTGGAACAAAGTCACATGAACTAGATTAGGTTGCATTCCAGAGCCATGCCTCTCTTCTATACTATTCCGAAAGAAGAGTTCCAGAAAGACATACACACACCCACACTCACACCCACACACAAGCATTTCTCTTGTTTCCACACAAAAGAAATAAATTCCAAAACAAACCAAATCTTGCAGTTTAAAGTCTTTTGGTTCAACTAGGTTATCCTTATGAGAAAAATCTTGGGGAAAATGTTAAAGAATCATCATACATAAAGATGGTGGTAGGAAAGAACATAACAATTCAAGGAACATGACACACTTATCTAAGTTGTGAGTGCACAGATGTATGTATACCCACGTATGTAGCTGCAGATTATTTCCTGATTCTCTGAAAACTCGACAGCCATGTGGCTCTACAAGTGGAGACTGAAAGGAAATAAATGTCTACAACACAGTTATTCAACAGCACTGCGAGCCCCAGCTGTGATGGAAACAGCAAGGGTTTTGGTGTCAAGCAAAACCGAGTTCGAAGGCAGCTTGGCACCACAGTGGCTGTGTGAACTGACAGATGTTATTTAACTTCTTGCCTCCATTTCCTCACTCAAAAAAAAAATTGACTTAGCTGGATATTTGAAAGTTGCTGTCTTATTTTATTTTTTAAAATATTTATTTATTTATTTTTAAAAGAGGGGAGGGGCAGCAGGAAAGGGAGGGAGAGAATCCCAAGCAGGCTCCACTCTGGGCTCTATCTCACAACCCCGAGATCATGACCTGAGCTGAAATCAAGAGTCGGACGCTTAACTGACTGAGCCACCCTGGCGCCCCTGGTGTCTTATTTTAAACTTGACCCAGGGTCAAGTAGACCCAGGGTGAGCCTACTGCATTTCTAACCAGCTCCTAGGGGATGTCCATGCTGCTATCCACTGGCTGCACTTTGAGTAATGGGTTTAGTACAGACACCAGATATATGACATTAGGAATACTGTTTCGGGAAACCTTATATCATGATACTTTGGTCTCAGCTTTAGATTACAGTCACAACCCAGTTCTTATGTATATATACTGATTGGAACCATATTTACTGTACAAAGAAAAACAAGCAAAAGAAAGAGATATTGAGTCCAGAGATTGATTCTGAAAACCTAATTCTGAGTAACTGTAATAATAATTGTGTTTACTTAAAAAAACTGCAATATTTACACACTATTTATGAGGTTCTATCTGTCAATTTTTGGCCCCTTCCACAATAGTAAGAATCAAAGTAGCAGAATAGGATAGTTTCCTAGACAAGCACAATGTGTCTTAATATCTGTTTGGCCAGCGCTGCTTAAACTTTTAAAAATTCAGTATAGCAATGTGCCCGCAGCTAATAGTATATCTTAGGAATTATTCCACTCAAGTCTATTATGGTAAGATTACTATGCATAATTTGAAATAACAATCAATTGATGTAAAGTTTAGCATGTGGAGAGTCTGGACCTTTCCTTTACCAGGTAGGTTATCATATAGATCACAAGTCACTTTTGGTTTTAGAGGGACCAAAGTATTTTTTCTAGCCTAAAATAATAAATGGGCGATATCTGAGGTGTTCATTTTGCTTCTTCTCATGATAACAAAAGCCTCTGAAATCACAGAGTATCTCCGTATTTCAGTGACTAGTGCATAGATATTTATAAATCACTGAACGGATTGTATAGCAATTACTCCAGCTTCTTAAACTTGGCACAGTGAGGAACACAGCAGGGTAGGAGGTGGAGGAGGAGTCTTCCAGGACTGAATTTTCCAGTTATTGAAATTGAGGCAAACATTTTCAATCTTTGAGCTTTAGGTTCTTCACCTCTAGAGAGAGGAAGTGATTCTATCTGTCTTACCTTACTAGGTGCTAGAAGGATCAAATAAAAGGATACATTCTGACTGCACTTAGGAAATGATGATGAACTACAGTTTTCTCTGACAAAATACAAATATACAAGAAGCGGAGGTGAATTTTAAAAACATTAATGAAATAAAAGGGCCTTCAGATCATCACTCATTTTTTATAGAAATAAACTATTATAATGTAGACTTTTCATATACACTTTCTATGAAGAAGTAAATGATTCTGATAGTGAAACATGATCAGGCCTGGATTTGAATCACGGGATGCAAAGTTCTAGATTATTACTCAATTTCCTTGATTCTTATTCAATTTTCCCATCTCTTAAAGGAAGGGATATTTCGAGAATTAAATATGTAATGCCTGAATCCACAGTGCTAAGCACCCAGCAAGCACTCAGTAATGTTTACGATAATAATGAGAGTTATTACTACTCTGTCTACTACTACTAGTCTCACCAACATGTCACGAACATGATCTAATGCAGTCGACACTCTACCAAATCTTTGTCACCTTGGCCATCTTGCAGACTCAAGGTTTCACAGCATATTGTGAAAAGGATTTCTAATGGAGCTTTAAGTTCCTTGGCTAAAATCAATGGAAAGCAGAGAATTCTATGGAAATTGAAAAGAATTCTGGATAAAAGGGCCAAAAGAACTTCATCGGAGCACCAACTCTACCCAACCAGCTGTGAAATCTGGGAGAGGGGAGGAGGCATGGGGTTAGTAGAATGGTGATAATGGTCATTTTTCTCCCAGATCTGCAAAACTAGTTACTCTTTGTTTGCCTCCCCGAAGGGTCATTTTGAAGATGTTTTGATAACTGAATGTGAAAGTGCTTTGTAAGCAAATGATAAATAGCAGCACTAATAAAACTATAGCCGTTCCCTATCAACCTGCCAGGAGAAATGACGATCTTCAAAAGCTGGATAATTGCCTGTACATTATTCATCACCTAACTTTTACTGGTCAAGGTACCTATGCATAAACATCTTTCCCACTTTAAGAAAGGAAAAGCACAAGTGAAATCTAAATGCACATAATTGATTTTCATTTCTCTCTTGCCAATTGTCTATAAATTAGGTTTTTAAAATTTTGTAACAATGATGGTCACCACACACACACACACACACACACGCACACGGCGGGGGGGAGCAGGGGACACTTAAACTTTTTCTCCAAAGTTAAAGTTTAAAAAAAAAATCAAAATCAGTCATTTCCCTAAGTGAAAGCCTAAACTCAAGCAAATAATATGACATCCTTTTTCTCAGTTTAATATGTCATATACTTTTATAAATGCCCTTCCTATGTATTTGTTATCCTTCCCATATGCATCCAAAAAGTCAAGGAACAAAGAAAACTATTTGTAATAAGTAAATTGTAAAGAACTAGGCTGTATATATATACCACATCTTCTTTATCCATTCATCTGTCGATGGACATGACACAAACAATGAATCATGGAAAACTACATCAAAAACTAATGATGTAATGTATGGTGATTAACATACCAATAAAAAATTAAAAAAAAAAAAGAGGTAGGCTGTGTAATGTTTAAGGTATTTTAATAATTATTTGGAACATATAACTGAATTTTCATTTCATGAAATTAAACAGAAAATAATAAACACAAAAGATAATAAAACATATTATGATACATAATATAGTATTTATTTTTCTAGTTTATTTTTAAGTTTGACCAAAATAGAAAAAAACCCACATTTTTTCCACTATTAAAAATGTTTTCTTTAGAATTTAGTATACACGTTTATCATGCATTCCAAACGCACTCTAAGTTAAATTACATAATATAACATAGAAATTTGTTGCTATTTTAATATACAGGATTTTACCCTTCTGCTAGTCTCTGAAAGAAAGATGCTTGTTTATCAGAAAACCCACTAATTATATAGTAGCAAAATCTCACTAATTCTATAGAGCACACTGAACCTAACCCAAGGACATTTTATCAACACATCAAACATAATGCAGGCACATGCAGAGAAAAACAAAACCCTCTGCAGTTGTAAATTCATATATTTTATTTCCAATGACTTTTACATTATTATATAAAAATAATTTTGGAAATTTGCTATACGACTAGGACCAAATATGCACAAGGGGAATGATAAAAGTTCATTTTAAATCTGAGCATGTTAACCCAACAAAAAGAAAAATCTGACCTGGCTGAGAAGCATCATTAATAATTTTAGTATTTTAAAGAGACTTTTAAGTACTAATTCCTTTAATATTCATTCTAACTTCAAGTTCCCCCCATTATTTACTTTTTTTGTTACCTGTTCCCACCACATCTAAATTTAATGTTTAAGAGAGACGAACATTCTCCTCTCCTAAAATGAAAATTTTTCTTAAAGTTCTAAATTATATTTAGCCACTTTCTCTGGTAAAGAAACTCGATTTATGGAATTCTTTCCTAAAATGTTCTGATGTTCACACTATATGATTCCAGTTTTGTGTCATTCTGGCTTTAACATCCCGCAGCATTATTCAATAGAGTGTACTCTATCATATTTTGCTTTCACTAACTGATTCTTTTGCAATGAGCAGAAAAAAGCCAAGTATAAGAAGCCTTTTGTTTTTAGCACCCATTGAATGGAAGTTCATTTTCCTCAGTGAAAACAGGGCCAGGGTGATTCAGGTGGGAGAGCTTCTCCTGTCTCACGGTTGTGGTTTGATAAATTCCTTTGTCATAGCTACTGTTACCACAGTAGGTAAAGAGAAGTTTTGAGATGAAGCTCTTGAAAAAAAGTTTGTTTTCAATATTAGGATAAGACAGGCAGCTCAGCTGGTGAGAGCAGGCCTGGAATTCAAAAGATGCTATGTGGCTTTGGTAAACCACTTCATCACTCTGGAGGCTGGTCTCTCTTTGACCACCTCTGTCAAACAAGAGATTTGGACTGAATGATCCAGAAGGTTTCTGCCACATCTGTTCTTCTATTACTCTAGTGGGTCATCATTTGCCCATCAATCCTGATTTTATAACTATTTTTTAAATTAAAATCTCCTGAGATGCTAACTTGCAATTAAAATCCTCCTGTCACAACATTATATCAAAAAAGGATTGCAGGGACACTTGAGTGGCTCAGTCAGTAAAGCATCTGCCTTTGGCTCAGGTCATGATCCCTGGGTCCTGGGATTGAGCCCCGCATCGGGCTCCTTGCTCAGCGGGAAGCTGCTTCTCCCTCTGTCTCTGCCTCTGCCCCTGCTTGTGCTCTCTCTCCCTGACAAATAAATAAATAAAATCTTAAAAAGAAAAAAGAAGATTGCAGGAATGGCAATGGTAAATAGAAAAAAAAGAGATTATCTGATTTTAAACATTGTTAAATTTGGCTTAAGTCATTTTGGAAATCTTTGAACAAATCAACAAAGTTTTTCTTCCTAAAATTTACAACTGCTGATATGGGTAATCGAATGTTTCTTTTTATTTCTTTTTCCCAAATGACGAATCAGTTGTAAACAAATTACACATCACCCACTGACCTGCCCATTGATTTGTTCCTCCGGTCAGTGTAATAGCATTTTTTCCTGAAAAATAATAGAAACAGATGAAGACAGTCATGTGAAAAAAGAGAAACCAGTGAGTGACAACATTTGATCATACTGAGTATATTAACCCTCCAACTTCCACACACCTAAGAAAGACATGAAATAAGCCAATATAATAGTAAGAATTCTGAATGTACATTGTCTTAATTTCAGACTTGAAGTTACTAATAACAAAAAACTTTGATAAATCAATAGATCACTTTTGAATAGTTGATTTTTAATTCCATTTTCTGAGTCTGTCTTCTGCTACCCAATGCATATTAACAGATCATTTGCTTATATGAAGTCATCCATCCATCCATCCATCCACCCATTTATATTTCTATCCATCTAAACACATATGTAATAAATAGTTATTCTGCGAGCTATGTTAAGGTATAACCATTAAAAATGTAGAGAAAAAGAGGGTATCTACCCTCAAAGAGCTTCCTTTATAGTTGAGGAGACAAGTGATGGTTATAATAAATTGTGATAATGCAGGAAAACAGAGAGTGCTATGGAAGTACCTAGGAAGGGATCTCAATTAGTTTTTGTCCACGAAGGAGAAAGGAGTCAGGAAAAACTTCCTAGAGCATGTATTATCTGTGTTGAATCTTGAGGCATGAGTGGGAATCGTCCTCTGAATAAAGTACTTAGGACATGGTATTCTTGACAGAGGTAGCAGCATATGAAATGGCTATAGGAGCAACACCAAATATTTAAAGATTCAGGAAACTGCAACTACTTTGGTAGTCTCTGGAGTATAAGTTGCAAGTTGAGTATAGTGATAAAAAAGCTGGCAGGGATGATGAACAAGGCACAGATAATGAGGGGTCTTACCACTGACTCTAAGGTTTTTGGATGAAAAACAATGGATGAAAAACATTGAGTGTTTTAAGTAGGTGTGAAGCATGTCTGATTTTAGAGACTCTAGAAGTTCGTGACAGAGGTTAATTCATCTCCTAAAAGATTCGTACCATAGCCTCATTTTGGAGCTCAGAAATCTCATGGTCTAGGTCTTCTAAAATGCCTTTTTATCCCTGCCCACCAAAACCTATTTCAGAGGATCAGTAAATTCTTCCACCTGTGGCATCTAGAAAGCAGAGCTGAATCAGGATAATCGATATTTGGTCCTAACTGTGTTATTAACTACTTAGAAAACTTGAAAACCTGAACTACTATATTTCATTGCAAACACTAGTCATATTGCTAAAAAAGATATTTTTTCAGTTGTCTCTGCCATACCGCAACACTAAATTCAAATATAGAATTTCAAGGCTTGCCATGTCTATCCTAAACTCATTTAAATATCTTCCCCCTTCATTTTTTCAAATATACAGAAATTTGTGTGCATACATAATTCATTTCCCATTGGAATACAAACCATCTTCTCTCTGAACTTCCTCTACACAGACTGTCTTGCACTATTTAATCATCATTATATAACTGATCATGGACTATCTTCTATAGGACATTGGGCCTCTTGAAGATAGTAGTTTTATTTCATTTGACTTTGTATGCCTGCTGTATACTTGGCACACTGTTTGATAAATAGTAAGTGATCAGATGGCTGATGAATAAATGAATGAGTCTTTGTTTAATTTATAGTTGCATTTATTTCCTTCAGTGCCTGAGACCACTTTGCATTTAATAAACATTTGCTAAATGACGTATTATTTTTTAAAGCTACAAATGTAGAAATTAGCTTAAAATAATTTTTAGCACAAAAAATCTAGGGATGTTATGTAGAGGACATAAAAGTTATAATTATCAACCATAGATACGGTAAGGAATATTAGAAAAGCAAGGGGACATTTAGATTTGACACTATTCTCCATTTATCTTTATTGCTGCTAGTTTGAAATTTCTCATAAACATTTTTAATCTTTGAAATATTCTGGGAACAGTAAGGAAAAACAAAGGAGGAAAGTAATAAAGGATGAATATATATACTTTTTAGACTAATATTATAAAAGCAAATAAAAATGAAGAGACTCACTTTTCCCAATTAACCCGCACTAATTATCAGTCAAATCTAGGATGAACTATGTGTGACAATTAGTGCTGTTGAGTCCTCTTACTTGAAGACTGGTTATTGCTTATCTGTTTGGCTCTATTAAAGGGTGAGATTTCCTTCTGTCTTTGCAATATCTTAGCGAACTGCCTGTGATGACTTTTCCCCTAATTTTTCATTTAAAAGATTGTACGATTTTTACACCTTGCATCAAGGCAACATCTATCTCCTTATCTCCCTACCCACCTATTTACAACAACCACTCAAAACTGTAAGAAAATAATGATGTGAACCACTGTTTCCAAGCCAGTGTTTCACACAGCCATGTGGTCACAAGTGCAGATGCCTGCAGGGCCAAGGGAAATAGGCAGTCACATGGGTGGAACCCTGGGTCCCCACCTTGTCAGGAAGAACTGCTCCACTCTTACCTATTTCATAAGTTGGGATGCCTGTTTCTATGTTATTTTATTTTTGAGTGAAGTGTCCTTTGCATAAAAACATGATCTAAGTTTAATCCCAATTGTGATAAAAAGATTGTTCTTAATGGTTTAAAAATCTCTCCCCCCACCCCCAATCTGCTATGTTTAAAATATTTGTGGGAGAAGATTAAGAATCCCATTAAGGAACTCAAACTGAGAAGCTAGGGGATGACTGAATCATCTTAAAATATGTTTGACTCTTTTATTGTGAAAGGGGTAAGAATGAATAGGAAACACCTTTGAATCAAAAGAAAAATAATGAAAGCAGAACTTAATATTTCTGGAATGTGGAAGACACAGGCTAAGTCCTTGCTGATAGGAGAAAAATAAGAAAATCTGAACTATTTTCATCCTCTGAAATTTTCTTGGGTAGTTTTTGAAACATCAAGTCTAATATGCAGGCCATATTTACTTTGGAATAATAATCATAAAAGGAAACAGCTAGAAAATTTAGGTGTATAAAGTTCTACACATACATTTAAGCAGAGAATTTAGATAAAATGCTCAAGATTCATGTTCATACAATGATTTCTCCTTATTGTATGGCAGGGTTATAACTAATAATTTTTTCTGAATAAATTTGCAGTTTTTCTTTGTGAAATATAATATGTAGGTTTCAATGCTGAATACATATGTGGGATAGCCAAGCATGTGTAAGCTTTTTTATGCATAAATCTTTTAAAAACTCTTGTCCTAAAAAGAGATATGTGTTTTTTCCTATTTAAGTTCTTTGTTATTGTATATTTTAATTTTAAGGCAGGATATATGTTCTTAAATGTGATAACAGTTGACAATTGGAAACTGAATCGGCCATCATAAAAACACTTTGCCACTCAATTTATGCTTGTATAGCATTCTCTTTTTATGAGGCAATGGCTATGCCAAATTTCATGTGTACCTTATAAATAAATGAGAAGTTAGTTACTAGGGATTTAATGTTACACCTATTATTTAAACTGATCAGGAAAATGTTCCAAGAAAACTCTGTGTTCCAGTATTTGTCAAACTGTTTTCCCAAGAACACCTACATATTAATATAAAAAAAAATCCTATCATCAAATGGAAAGGGTGCTTTGTATAACCAACTCTTGAAATGTATAAAAATGGTCAGAATTATTAAAATATTAAAATTGCTAAGACAATATTTCTTTACCATCTGCATCAGAATCCTGTGGGATGCTTGTTAAAAATGTATATACCTTCTGTTCTAGAATTAGTATGCCATAATCTCCGGAGGGGAGGGCTCCGGGAACCTCATGTTTACTAAGCGTCCCAGGTAATTGTAATGCACTCTAAAGGCAGAATGAGAACCACTTCTCTAAAAATACCTACAGTAAATAAACTTACTGTTTAACTCAGAAATTCAGAAACATATTTGCTCACAGGATATTTTTCTCTTAAGAATCTGGAACTAGTATTCCTTTGATACATTTTGGAAAATGTTACCTATTTTCTAATATTTATGTTATTAAATCATGAGAATTTCAATGGCATTTTCCATAAGTTTTAGTAATGCAGCAGTTGTAAACATTGTTTTAAAAAAACATGTTATAAGGGGGCACCTCAGTGGTGCAGTTGGTTAAATGTCTCACTCTTGGTTTCAGCTCAGCTCATGATCTCAGGGTCTTGGGATCAAGCCCTACATCAGGCTCTGCGCTCAGCCAGGAGTCTGCTTGAGATTCTTTCTCCCTCTCCCTCTGTCCCTTGCCTGCTCATGCGTGCTCTCTCTCAAATAAATAAATCTTAAATAAAATAAAATAAAAAACATCTTATAAATAAGAAATTTCAGGCGCACCTGGATGGCTCAGATGGTTAAGTGCCTGGCTTTGGCTCAGGTCATGATCCCAGGGTGCTGGGATCGAGCCCCACATCAGGCTCCCAACTCAGCAGGGAGTCTGCTTCTCCCTCTGCCTCTGCCCCTCTCTCCTGCTCATGCTCTCTCTCTGCCTTGTCTCTCTCTCTCCCAAACGAATAAATAAAATCTTTTTTTAAAAAAAGAAGAAATTTTGGCCACAATATCAAGAAGAGATAGTAACTGCATACATTTCAAGGTTTTCATAGTTCTTTCTTTAGATGTATCAGCACTCTCAAATGCAACAGTACCAGGAAAATTTTAAAAAATGAGTATCATTTTTAAAAAGAAAAAAAAAATATCTCTGAAGAGAACAGCTTCTTCAAAAGCTACCGTAGGTCAAGACACCATGGTACACAGCCTGGAGACCTAAGCTCTAATTCACACCAACTGAGGACACTCACAATCTGGCAAGGGAACTGTTTTTTAGGGAACTTCTAAGGAAAACAACAAAAGGAATTAAATTCAGTATAGATTCTTTAAAAATTAAAGTTATGAGAGTACTGATTATTCTATCATTGAGTTTCTCAAAATTCATCTGAAAAGGTAAGAGTAAGGGCAAGGACAGAGAGGAGGTCAATGTTCTCCAAACAGACCTTCAATTTTTAAAAACTAGTAAAATCCGACATGATGATGAAAAGAGCTATATGAAAAGTATGACAGTGTAAACTGTGTTGCCATTGTCTTCATAAGATTTTTTTCCCTGTAGACTATGGCAGAATGAACATATTTGGAAAGTGAACTGATAAAAAACATCTTTGAATTTTGAATGTCCAATACTTGGAGTAAAGCAAACATGTTAAGTGACATTTTATTCATAACTTATTCTTTCTCTGAGTGCAAGTATAACTGCAGCCTTAAGAACGAGAGTCTTTGCTGGGATCTAGGTCAAACTGTGTCAAATCCTTCCTTGTGCAGCACAAAAGGAACAAAATCTTCCGGACTCCTGGCCAACATCTGTTTTGTGTAAAGTCCAGAGGAGGTTAGGGGGATATATGCAGCCTTTCTGATGAGATGTTTTGACGCAATGTTCCCTCAGTCTGAACTCAACCTGAATGCTGAAACCGACAGAAATGGGACACTTTGTGATAGACTCTTAAGGGTTTTCTCCTTTTAGATCTACAAGGAAATTACTTTGTGCATGAATTCAATTACAACTCTTTTTAGACACAATGTTGAAATCACAGGACAAGGGGTAGATAAGGGCACCTGATTAGTTAAGATTAATTTAGAAATTTTTTAGCAATTTCATCCTGATATCAGAAACCAGGTCATCATCTTGAGTGTCATACTTTTCATCCTATGTTTACATCCTGTAATCAAATTCGAATTTGTTAAAAGTAGATAATTTTGCAATATAAACAAATAAAATAACAGGTACCCACAATCTCACCTATCAGGAGGAGTCATTTTTAGCATAGTATATTTTATTATAGTAATATATAATAAATATATAATAATAAATATATTAATTATAATATATTAACTAATATGTCAATTATTAATATAATATATAATTAATATATAATATTATTACATTATATGTGTGTTAACATATAATTAATATATAATAAATATGTTTATTATATTTTCTATTTCATTTCTATGCATTTTATATTGTTGGAATTACACCATGTAATTATAATCATAATGTATACAAATTTTTTTTTTTAAAGATTTTATTTATTTATTTGAGAGAGAATGAGAGACAGAGAGCACGAGAGGGAAGAGGGTCAGAGGGAGAAGCAGACCCCCCGCTGAGCAGGGAGCCCGATGTGGGACTCGATCCCGGGACTCCAGGATCATGACCTGAGCCAAAGGCAGTTGCTTAACCAACTGAGCCACCCAGGCGCCCCAAAATTTACAATTGTTAAGAAATCCTATCCCATTCATTTTGTAAATGGAATTATATTCCATTGCAAGAGTGTATTCTAATTTACTCCTCTACTGTCGAATATAGAAGATATTTCCATTTTCCACAATTGTAAATAATACTTCAGGGAATGTTTTTACACATTTTTCATTTATATTCTTAAGATAAAAAATGGAGAGTATAAAAAGTTTTAAGGCTCACAAAAAATATTTTCAAGTTGAGTTTCTGAATATTTTATGAAGTTTAACTTGAACCATAAATAAACAAATCTGATTATTTACCATATCTGTGCAATGTTTGAATGTAACTATTTGTAAAATTCTTTACTAATTTCATAGGTTAAAATACATCACATTGTTTTAATTCTGCATGATTTTATGTAGCATGAATATGTACAAACCAAACAAGAAGAAATCAGATAGAGCAAATGGCAAATATTCTCCCAATATCAACTTGTAATAAGTCCCAGGCAAGTATTTCAAGACTTTTTAGAAAGTGACATAGTGTCAAAAGGGAAGAATTCGTCAGAAGTTAAGAAATGTAGAGTAGGACAAATATATACTTACCAAGCTGTACTCTCCAGATTAGCTCAGTACAATGACTTGAACTGAAAGCAGTCCTTTGCAGACCTCACGCTAGCTAATCATAACACAAATAACATCTCATAGGCCCTTATTTGTTTCTTTCAGGAACCAACTTTTATAGAAACCTACAGACTTCAGGTTCTCTTAGGTAACTATCATTTGTATAAGATGTTGTAGAAATTAGACTTTTCTTTCCCTTATCATCTTTTGCTTTACAATTTGTTATCATTATTATTCTTTGCCAAGCTTTTTGAGGTATTATTTGCTTATCTCTTAAATATCATTTTTAAAGAGAATTTTTAAACTCTTAGCTAAGTTTGAATATGAACCAATTAGGTACCCAATTCTAATATTGTCAGTAAGATTCCTCAGTAGTTGCCAATGTTTAATCAATTTCTGTTTTGTGGACAATGGCTATGTTTGCATCTTTCAAAGCCTGAGGTGTTTCAAATGACTAAAAAGATGGGACAGCTATCTCATATTTTATTTTGAAAGCCATGGAACCATAAGACTTGTCAGCACTCTTACTAGAATTGGCCTCTTCCATGCTACCCGGTCTGAGATGTTTCTCTGTATTTTTGAATTGTACTCTTACTGTTCATTCATATTCATTATCTAGAAGCTCTTTTACTTGGTATCTTGTTACTCTTTTTAAACGCTCTTATCTGCTGATGAAGTACATTGAGTTCTAAAGAAGCATAGTATCTTTGCACATAGTGGGAACATTATTGAATTTCACATGGAGGAAGTGATACATTCTGCATATAACACAAGATACACAATATAGGGAAGCTCAGGTCTATTCAAACTTCATTTGCCTGTAGGAAGAATGGAAAAATCTTTGAATGGAGCAGGCCTCCCATTCCCAAGTATCCTCTGGGACTGAGGACAGAACTAAGAGATTATGCGGTTGAACTGCAAGTAATGATTCTTGCTAACTGCTATACCAAGAGAAACACTCTATTTGTTTACAAATGGATGCTACACACACTTCCTGCCTTCCACAAAAAGAGTAAGAGTTTTTAACTACCCATATGATATAAGAACCGAGACTGATCTTGGAAACTATAAGTTAAATTCTGAAAACAACCATTTTTCCCTCCCTCTAGGCCAGTCCACCTAGAAATGTTATAAAACATCCAAGGGACCATAAGTTTTATCACATTTGACAAACATATTAGAAGGGAAAAAAAGTGTCCAAGGTATTCTAACATTTGGAAGAAAAAGCTCTATAGAAAGAGTTACATTTGTTGCTCTAAAGTTTTGCAAAAAACACTCATCTTAATATACATTGAGATAGAATGAAGTAAAATTTGAAAGTACCTGAAGGGCATCCTGATATTTAGCCTTTCCGCATACTTGCACAGTGTGTCCCATGGAATATGAATTTTAATAAACATGATATCAGGGTTTGCAACAGCTGGCTGCGAAGGATAGAAAGGCAGTCACCATTATTTAGAATCAGAGCTGATGATATTGTGTCACAATTTGATTTGAAAAGAAAAAACACTGTCACCTTGTCTCCACGTAAATCATTGTCACTGATTTAAGGGGGATTTATATAAATAAAAATTCTTAATACAGAAAAACCTTCATAAAAATGTAACGATGCCATTGAATATAAGAATAATTTTTCTTATATTGATTGTTATCAAGATCCAGAATACCCAACCAGAAAAATCATGAACCAGTTAGGAATCTGAAGTTATTCTTGTTGGAAACTTTATCATGATCCTGCTCAGAGGGAACAGAAAACACTGACAGTTGCCACTAGTCATTCATTGATTCATTCACTTATTCTTCTAACATATTTTATTGAGTAATTACTACCTGCTAGGTCCTATGAAAATCCTGGGAAAAAATGGATTATAAATCATACAGGTCCTTGACCTTACAGAGCTGTTAAATTTGCACACTTACTTTAACCTTTTAGTCCAGAAGAATTTAAGTGTCTCTGATCCACACAAAAGGTTTTTAAGCAGAGTTAAGTGTGCATCAAAATTATAAATAATTTATAAATAATTATAAATAAATAAATGGGGCTTTTAACAAAATTCTAATTCTTAAGAATTCCCAGAATTGGATTCCATTGTTCTGAATATTTTGTTCATATTACTAACAGAGAATCAGCTGCATTTTTGAACCAGATAATTATTAGGATTCTTAGATGTGGCCCACTAGTCTAAAATAGGTAACTAAATAATTGACTAGTTTGGCATTACATATCAATCATGGTCATATTCTATTTTTTCAAAAGCCTAAGCAATTATTTTCTCAAGTTCCTGTACTATCTGAGGCCCACACAGCAAGGAGGTTGTTCGTGACTATTCTAACAGTGAATTCCACAGACCTTATCCTTCAAGTGATTAGAGATGCTGAACATACATAAAGGAACAACTCTGGTTTGCTTCCACTTAGGCAGGCCTGCCAGGTTAGACACAGCTGGACTGCATTTGGTTGGCATTGTTCATTTAAATTTCAGCTAGATGGAACTTCTCGAAAAACATAACCATCTTAAAAGCTCAAAAGTATGGAAGAAATTTATCATTTTAATTTAAAATCACATGCATTTTATAATTAAACTGTACAGTTTTATATCCATACATTCATAAAGCCCTATATTTTAGGTGTGGTTCATTTCATAAGTTTGCCAGAACAATATTTCAAATTTGTATCGCCAATATTTTAGAACAGTATTATTAGAAAACCATGGGGCAATCATCTGGCTGATACTCAGATATAGAGGGAATCATTGCCATAGGACAGGCACTTCCACAGACCAGCATTTGCTGAAGTTTATTCCACGGAGTACTATGAAAAAAGAGGCAAGATATTCCATGGTCAAAAAATTTCGAGTTTCTCACTAGAGAACTTAGGAGACACTTTAATATGTGTATACTTGCTAAAAATATCCAAGAAGGTGAGAAAAGTAAACTAAATTTTCAAAATTTTGGACCATGGGTTATTTTCTTCCTGATAGTTTATTGAGGTACCTCTATTTTGCAAGTCGTCATGGGAAAAATAGCAAAAGATGTTTTCACATAAGTATAATTTCCAGAGAGCTTTCCTACTTCAAATATGTTTGTTTTAAATTACAGGTAAAGAATGTGGGAATAAAATTGACAATGGCAGAAGAAGACATAGTATGTGTTAAATATCAACAGGCCTTTGAATTTAGACCAAGGTCATACATATCAGCTATGATTGAGAAAATAATGTGTAGAATTTTTTTAAATGAGATTAATTCATTTAAACAACTATTTGTTTTTTACCTAGCTAGAAAGGAAAAGGAGAACAATTATAATGTTATCTCTGGCTTCCTCTTAGCAACTATTACAGACTTGGCTGTAGGTTTCTGTGCAGCCACTAGGTATTTATCCAAAGGATACAAAAATAGTGATTTGAAGGGGCACATGCACCCCAATGTTTATAGCAGCAATGTCCACAATAGCCAAACTATGGAAAGAGCCCAGATGTCCATCGAAAGACGAATGGATAAAGAAGATGTGGTATATATATACACAATGGAATACTACCCAGGCATCAGAAAGAATGAAATCTTGCCATTTGCAATGACATGGATGGAACTGGAGGGTATTATGCTAAGTGAAATAAATCAGTCAGAGAAAGACAAATACCATATGATTTCACTCACATGTGGAATTGAAGAAACAAAACAGATGAACATCGGGGAAGGGAAGGAAAAATATAATAAGATAAAAATAGAAAGGGAGGCAAACCAAAAGAGACTCTTAACTATAGGGAACAAACGGGAGGGTTGCTGGAGGGGAGGTGGGTGGGGGGATGGGGTAATTGGATGATGGGCATTAAGGAGAGCACTTGATGTAATGAGCACTGGGTGTTATATGCAACTAATGAATTACTAAATTCTACCCCTGAAACTAGTACTACACTATATGTTAACTAAATTGAATTTAATAAAAAAAAAAAAAAAGAAAGAAAAGAAAGGTTTCTGTGTAGGAGTGATAGAATCAAGAAAATCTTTCTAAAGCATAAAAAGCATAGGCATTTAAATGACTCCTTCACTGAGGCAAGTGAAAGAAGAATTTCATGTTTTATTATAGTTTTTCCTGCTTTAGCCATACAAAAGTTCTTATATTCAAATTGATAACAAAGATCCTTCTTTTGAAATTATGGTGTTGGCTGCTGGTGTTATACTAACTTGCCTTTTTGCTTACCAAGCACAATTTAAATTTCTTCAATCCTAACTGCCTACATAGAAGAAATCACATGGTATGGTAGACAGAACATAAAGTGTGGAATCACAAAAATTTAAGTACAAATTCCATCTTTACCATGTACTTAGTTTTGTGAGCTTGGGGAAATTACCTAACCTCTCTGATCCTGCTCTCTCTCCTGAGAAATGGAGACAATGATCTTAACTCACAGAGCTGTTAGGAGTGTTATGAGAGACTGGATATATAAACTACTCAAGTATAACAGGATATCCAGAATTGTTCATTCTCTGTCAAGAGCATGCTTCTTCAATCAGACGCGAGCCTAAATAATGGCTAATTTCAAAACTTCACTAGAATCCTTCTCTCTCACTCTCTTTGTCTTTTTTCTCAGTAATTAGCTACCAGATTCATCTTTATTCCTTGGTTGTATAAGCCTTCAATAATAGGACTTTTGAGTTATACAAGTATAAAACCAGTAACAACCTATATTTGGGGAAAACTCTAGAGTGACTTGAATGGAGTGACTGAAGAATTAAGTATTTTTCTGGTAATATAAACTGGATATAAATTGTAATAAAACTGTATTTCTACAGACTGTAGTCTCTTTGGGAGGTGTCTCTTCCTTTACATGTATTTAAATTGTCCTATACCTGTATGTTATTGCTTGCTCCTAGGGAGAGGTGGGCTCTTTTTCAGCAGTTATAAAGAGAGAGAAAATGATACCCTCAGGATTACAGAAAACATATCTAGTATTCGTTTTCCTCAGAATCTGGAAGAGAGGCCTCTATGAAAATGAATGAGTCTAGACACAGACAAAAACCAATCTATACCAGACTGACACATTCTACATGTAGAATGGTTTAAGACTGAATAACAAGCCTTTGAGAAATGCACTGAAGTTTGAACATTGCATTCCCTCCAATGGTTCCATGTAAGTTTGAAAGCAGCGATCTCTATGGTGGAACAGACAGCTCCTGGGACAAAAAACAGTCTCTCAGGAGCTGGACCTTATTCCAGTGTAAATAGAGATCTCATTTTCCCTCAGAGCATCATGGTTACTGAGGCTTAGGCATGTTGGTTTCCGGAGTACAGTTGTAACATGAAGAAGGTGTGAGTGACACATGTTTTGGGAGAGGTCTTGGAAGGTTTAACTTCCACAGCTGGAGAGCTTGGGTTTCATACTACCAGATGGGTCCTGATTTGTTTTATCTTACAGTATGTACAATCAGAGTTGGTCACTCCCCACTTCTGCACAGCTCCCACCCTGGTCTAAGCCATCATCATCTCTGGCCTAGATTCCTACCGTGCTGTCCAACAAAGCCTTTGCTCACATTCTTGCCCCCAATAATCTATTTATAGCATAATGGCCAGAGTGATTCTTTAAAATAGAACTCAGATCATATGACTTCTCAGAACCCTATTGCATTCAAAGTGAAAGCCAAAGTGTTTTTCAGTGACCTACGCAATCTCAAGCTCAATATCTTGCTAACCACCCTCTCCTACTACTTTACCCCTCACTCATTCTACTTCTTATCCTTTGGTCACTTGCTACGACTTGCCTGTCCTTGCCCCATCTTTCTCACCATGTCTATTCTTTTCCCTGTAGTATTTATTATCTTCTAATAAGTGAATCTATTTATTTATGTAAGTGCCATGAAAGAATAAAAAAGCCACGGCTTTTATTTATTTTTGTATACCAAGCACCGAGTTCTATGCTGGGCACACAGTAGTCACTCACTAAACATTTGTTGAATGGATGAATGAGTGAGTTAACTTATTTTAAGTACATGTTCTATGTAATTTGTACCTCACCAAGAGATGATGGAAACAAGAATGCAAATAAACCAGAATTATTCTGGAAGAGGTGCTATGTCAAAATTCAAATTAGCATCATGAATAGCTGGCATAGTACTGATTATTAATTCAATCCTGTCAACCTTTAAGATGTGAAAATATCTAATGCACTTAAATAAAAGAGATGCTTTAGAAAGATGTTTCTACATTAATTCTACCATCAAGGAATGAAATGTCAAGCTAAGAGCACATACAGCTAGAACATTTCTAATTTTGTATGTCTTAACTTTAAATATATATAGATCTTTTTCAAGCACCATGAACTGTCTTCTTTTATAACTTCCTCAACTTAATTTCTCTTTTGTTATACCTCTACTTAAAACAAAACAAAAGTAGTTTCATTTTCTCGCAGCTACTGAGCAGGGGTTTGG